CCCCTACCTCAGATATTATTTGTGACAATCATAGCCCTTGACATTCAAGTAAAGAGCATACGGGAGTTTAAAAAGTAAAGCAACTCACAACCAACCATGCAACCAAGGTCTTAGTACTTTAAAGAAGACAGAGACAATTTTCAGTCCTGACTGCTTGCAGCCCACAGTCCCCCGGAGAGAGCAAGCATGCTATGGAGGTGGTGTTCTTATCCTCAGCCTTCCTTTCCCAGCAGGCAGGTCTTACGGTGTTCTCACAGTCCACCCATTTTTGCTTTCATTACACACTCTTGTGAACATGTGGGGTCACTTTCTGTAAAGCGGGGGGGGAAATTACCTACATTCCCCAGCTGGTGGAGGCCCAGGGCACCACTAAGGAGATTTTTACATTGCCAGCAGGATCCCAAGAGGAGGAAACAGTGTTTTAACGGTACTTGTGTGCAGAGTGCCAACCCAGAGGGTAAGTCACACAGGTGTGGCCTCTGGAAGGGAAGCCGCTAAGCGTGGCAATGGAGAATTTCCGGTGAATGCCTGCTTTTCTATGTTGACAGCTGGTTCACTCTCAAGTCCCTTGAAAACAATTCTCAGAGGGATACAGGAGGGACAGGAAGGAACTGTCAAATAGCATGTTTGTTTACCTTTCCATAACAAGGTTCTGGTTTTGCTCCCAGTGCATCTGACAGGTATTCATCCATTCAGGATACTATGAGGTGTCCTGTCCTACCCCTTGTTCATGCACCCGTAAGAAACGGATGCACAGCCTAAAAATTGGAGGAGAAGCAAAGACACATCCTGTACTTTGAGCATACTTGAAGAAGCAGAAGGAAGGAGGGAGATACAAAAAGGTAGATCCTGTCAATGTCCTTTATGCATCAATAAGCCCTTCTGATCAAGATGCAAAAAGAAAACTCTGCAGAGGAGAGAGTGGTGGTGGCTCTCCCACCTGCAGGGCTGTGAGCGATGCTGGTAAGCAGCGCGTGACACAAAAGTTCTCACCCAGACCAAGGACAACCTTGGCACAGGAATCTCTGTTAAAATCCTCCTCACAGTCACATCTGTGCCTCACAGCATGAGTAGACCAGTTCCTGGAAATAGGGCAGTCCCTGCTGCTGGAATAGGTGTGCACATCGGTGTCCTGAAATGACTGTTAACAAAAAGCTTTTAAGATGGATGGATTGTCTAGGATGAAGCTAGATGAGCCTGGAGACCTTCTATCCATCCTCCAAAGACTGAAGAGGTGAAAATAGTTTACACATAAAAAAGAATTTGAAGCAGGGAACGTGGCAGCCTGCAGCTTTTTGTGATTTGAACCCATGGATACAGTTTGATGAAATACTTTGCCTGTGATAAAAGGAGCCCTGTCAAGCAAAGATCAAAGACAGCAGCTGCTCCAGAGAACAGCATCTTCTGGCCTCCGAACACACCGTTAGCTTTTTTTCATTTTCCACATGACTGGGGAAGAGGACTAATAAGCAGTCCTCAAAATGAACCTGAATTAATTCCACAAGCACAAATGGAAAAACTGAAGCAGCCCAAATTCCATTCAGAAAGCAGAGTGCCCTGCACCCAATTGCCTCACACCTGCACCACTCAGACATTTACAGTTAGAGGCAGTAAGGGAACCCCAATTACTGTATTTTACTGACCTCACAAAACACTGGTTACTATTATGTTCCAGCTATGGTCTGACAGGTTTTGTTTTGAGAAGCCAATATTGAAAAGGTCAAATTCTAACTAAATAATTTTTCAGTATTTTTCTCCTGAAAGAAAACAGAGCAACTTCAATTTACACTTACTTGAAAACATAGCCCTTGGAATCCAGAGGGTGCAGAGGAAATATCTGCCCTCTAATCTTCAAATGTAGACATTTTAATACTTTTAACTCCAAATTTAAAAAACAAACCACAAACAAATAAAACAAAGAGATTCTGCTGGAGGTTGCTCCCTCTTGTGGAATAGCTAGGTTTTTTTCACTGTATGCCTCCATCCCCTTACCAGCACACAGAGCCTAAGAAATACGATTAGTCTCAACGCCAATCAAGTGCCCTCAGAGGATTTCTGAAATGGCACTCCTAAAGAAAAATTAACCTTTGTCTGTATTGAAACAGAAGCTGGGCTTGCGCATAGGAAGGTGGGATGGGAGCATGACATTTGCCACCTTCAGCTGGCCAATCCCCAAAACCAGCTGCCAATCCCCACCCAAAAGATTGTTAGCAATAAAGGATAGAGGGACCCTGGCTGAGGAACACACTGGCTCATCTTCCTCACACAGCTGCTACAAAGCTGACCCCTTCATAATAACTGCAGTAACCAAAGTTACTAAGTCGACCTTTGCTTTCCGACAGATTTAATTTGATGAATAAAGAGCATTAGAAACTGTCATTCCAAAACACAAGTTTTTTAGTTTTCTTTGTTGTTAGTGTTAAGGGCAACTGTGTGACTGTATGTGCTGGGAAAAAAACCCCACACTTTAAATCACAGTTTTTATCAGCCCTTCTGGCAAATCTTCCCCATGGCAATGGGACTACCTTAGGGAAAGCTCATTTTCAAGACAATAAGGTATTAAGCTGATAATCTCACCAAAAGTAGAAGATGCTGAATCACATTGCTACAAAGGCAGCACTGCACTGTCTGCCTGCCATGTTGCCAATAGTTAACAATTTGCAGCTGCTGTCAGATAAAGCAGGATCTGAAGAAGTTTGCAGCCTTCCCCCTCATCCTTCTTGCCTATATATCACCTCTGTGAACCCCTGGCTCATGCAGGTGGGACCACTTCCTGCAATAGCATGTGGAAAAGCATCACCAAACCCAGTAGCTAATTAGCACAATGACTTCCCACCATGTATTACCAGCAGGTGATTAACTCAAACCCTTTAGAATCAAAGGCATAGGTCCATACCATGGAATTAGTGTCCACAGGAGTCAACTTCTGGAGAGAGATGTGACACACCAAGCCAGAGCCTTACAATAGCAAGCAGCTCTTACTGAACAATGCTATGGATCTCTACTAAAGAGGAATGAAGGCAAGTCTGACTGGAGTCTCAATCTCCCACACAGAACAAATATGCTAAGACAGCCCTTCTGTGTGGTAGGAAATACATTAGAATTCAAAGTTTGTTAAGAGAAATGAATGCACAATTCATGTTTAAAGATGGACACACTCACCTGCTGCTCTCCCTGTACCTGTAATTTTGATGCAAGGCTGAGAAGCAGAGCAAGAACTCTGAAACGAAAGGCTTGAGTTCCTTGAAACATACACAAGAGTTCTGCAAATGTTACTTCTCAAAACAGGAACAAAGCTGGGGCCTAAGTGTCATTCATGTTGTATGCTACAAGGTAGCAACCTTGAACTGTGACAAGAAATTTAAATTGGGTGAAGAGTAGGAAATGGAATAAAAGGAGCATTTACAAAAATAGACCTAACACAGGAGAAAGGCACCTGATAAATAGCATTCCACTTTCTTGGAAGGGGTGGATTCAACATCCAACGGCTCTTGACACTTAGCAGACAAAGCATTTTTGTCTGGCCTCTTATTTTCTTCAATACAGTAATTTGATGGTCAGCCCTCTATGAGAGGGAACTTGCTGGAATAAAGTGCACAGATACCGTGGCACTGACAGCCAGTTTTGCAGATGCCACATTCATTAAGACCAAGTCTTCCCCTAAAAGCACACAGGTACTGGCACTGGAATAGCTGGGATCAAAACATGAATGACAGCTGCCTGTAAAATTCCCAGCTATCATTTCAGTCTCTAGTATATGGCCAAGAAGCCAGGCTTCACAGCATACTGAGACAGAAAATAAATCGCCTGCTATTGTAAAGAAGCTACAAAGTGCTGAGCTGGAACAGTCTGTCTCTGAGCACAGGCTTGCTAGGTGACTCTTACAAATGATTAAAGGTGACCAGAAAGCAAGGCAGTATACAGGGATAAACAATCTCCACCTCCTCCGTCTGCAGAGGGCCTGGGAGACAGGCAAGGCACAGTGGCTCAGGAGATTTCGAGCAGACCCCTTTAAGTTAAATTCTAAAAATTCAGGGTCAAAACAAAAAAAACACAGCCAGCCACGGGCAGGGTAGAATGGAGGTCCTCAGATACTTACATGAAGCTTTCAAAAGCCTTGCCATAAGAAAGGTTGTTACTCATGATAAAAGTCCTAATGTCTCAGATGCTGTCTGGCTCTCAAGCTGCAATGATGCTTATATTACCAGAAGGAAGACACGCACACACATGAACATTCAACTACACAAGACCAACTTGTACTGGTCTGACTGCTGGAATGCCACTGCTGTTTGACTGATACATATTGCTCAAAAGAATTGAGATTTAAGCAGCCAGTTGTCCAGTAATATAACCTAAGGATTCAGGACATGAGTCTTTTTAAGAGAACCTTCTCATGGTCGTCCTCTGCATCTTCCAATGCAGGCAGTGCAAACAAATACCAAAGCAACAGGACTACTATATCCAGAGTTCTCCAGAGGGGGCATTTTACAGCCACACATCTCCAAACCACCAGTCAGCCTGACATGCAGCAGATCTCATGGTTGTCATCCGCTGTTCCCAGGCTCCCTTTGCTGGCTCTAGAACTCCCAGGAGTCCATCCACCGCAGCCCTGCCATGGGGCTGCTAGGGTCAGAGGCCATGGGTCCTATCATCCCATAGGACAGAGGATGGAAGAGGTAGAAGCTGTGGAAAGAAACCAAATGCCCATCAAGGACTGCAGTTTTCTGTCTCAAGAACATCACAGCAGATTAGTCCATACAGATGTCGCACAGGACCTTTGTTTTTGGGCTGCTCTAAGCTTCACTAGGGACCTTCTAACCTCTGCTGAACACAATATATACATAGAACACAGTTTTATCACAGGTGGTATTTTCTCTTAGAAAGCAACAGCTTGGAGAAAAGCCAGCTGAGAAAACCTACAGAAAAGAAGAATTTGCCTGTATTTGAGGGATGTGGCACCATCTGACATTGGGACTAGAATCAGAAACCACTGAGCTGTTGGTTTGGAGAAGAGTGTTCACACTGAGTGCTGGGATAAAAGAAAGATTCTCTGCAATGGAAAGACGTTTTATAATGCATTACTGGGACACAGATGATGAATCTAATAAAATTTGAGGTTTTAGGATTGGGCTTGATGATGTCTGACAGGTTCAAAAAAAAATTCAGCAGAGAAGAGAGGCAGGGACAAAGGCTAAGGATAATTAGCAGGCACTAAGGTTACCACTGAAAGACTGACTGTCACACATTCAGGAAAAGCTCAGCTTTCAGCACTGACCTGTACATGATGAGCAGAACCAGTGCCAGGAATCCCCCTCCATATACTTTTCTAGCTGTAGTGCTGGGTGACAGAAACCCAGCACAGAACTTCAGTAGTGTGTCCCAGGTGATTCCTAGGAGAAGGAAGAGGTAGAAGTCAGGAGCAATGCAGAGGCCAAAGAACAGAGCTTGCTACGTTCAGCCACAACTGGGCTGACAAAGCTCCGTTAACACCAGAAAACCTGGTCAATTTTAAAATTCGGTTACCTTGGTAACCTTCAGAACTACAGGGATTACTTTGTATCAGCAGAATGTTCTTTTTTCCTACCTTTCCCTTTGAATAAATGCAAAAGCGATGTGGGCCCCAACATGCTAAGTTGGTACAAAATCACAGGAAAAACTACCAAGACTGAATTATAAACAGACATGACAGAAAAGTGGGGGCAGCAAACAAAGGGAAAGAACTTGTATAAAAGCATATGTACGAACAGTGACACAGCAGAGAATAAGAATCACATCTCTAAATTTAAATGCCCTAAGCACTAGACATGACTGCCTTTTCAGGGTGGTAACAAAAAAATGACAATTTGGCACTGCAACTTGCTTTGTGAAAAACATTTTGAATTAGTCAATGTTTTCAAGCACTTGGCACAAGAAGTGGAAAACCTATAAAAAAATAAATATACTGTTTAGTCTGAAAACATGCCATTTAACAGAATTGCCTTCTCCCAGACCCTAGTATTTACCTGTCAACATGCTGGAAAAAAGCATGGCAGGGAAGTAGTGGTGAAAGTAGAGAACTCGGCCCATCATAAAAAAAGGGAGGTAATGAAGGAGCCAGCCCAGAATGATCTGCCCTCCACCATGTAGCACAACTCTGGACAGTTCTGGAACACAAATAAACAGATGTCAGCAGAGAAAAACTCAACTACAGTTCCTATTTGCAAGCCTTATCACAGTAAGTAAACTCAACAGGAATGATCTTTGCAGGAAGTCATGTACTGGTCTGAAATTGGTCCAAGCTTCTGGAACATCACAGCTGCATTCTTTATAAACATACAAACACTTTCAGGAGAACAGTTATCAGAAAAGATATACAAAGGCGTAAGTCTCAAGGGACTGGCAGGAGGCTGACCGTGCTCTTTGTTAAGACCAAACCTGCAGTTTCTCAGGATGTACATCAGACTAATTACATCATTCCAGTTTCTGATGTTTTTTATTCTCTCTGCAATGAGACTACCAGCCATTGAGATGATCACTTTGCCAGGCTTTCCTGGAAAGAAATGATGCCTAGCTTTCAGAGCCCGGGGAAGCGACTGAGAGCTCTGGTGTCTGCATGCAGCCTAACCAATAACTGATTGTGTAACTGTATAGTTTCACATCACATTTTAGAATTCACTTCCCACAAAGAGATCTACAAAATGAAGCAACCATTGATTTAAACTGGAACGGTCAAAGTATGACTTATTAGGGTTTGTGAAAAGCTCTACAACCTTGGAACTGGACAGAATAAAGGATCACTGCATCTCTTGCTTTTGTCATTTGCTTTTCGTAAGTATCAGGAAACATTTCTCATTTCAAAACACCATGCACAATACAGCAGTACAGAGCACAGGCAGAGCTTGAGAGCAGGGCATTGATCCAACTGGTCTGTCTCCCTTACAGCCAATACAGGTAGCTCCTTGCAGTATTTTTGTTGAAGATCTGTCCTGTTCACTATTAAACTATTTGAGATATGAAGCTCCCACTCTTTCAACCTAAGCTGAGTGCTTTCCCACCCCTGGCACACCAAGTCCTGCCACCCATACACTTTTAAGGTGCCTGCAAAAGGCATTTGTGAAAAGAAAGTCTATTATCAGTTACCTATGTGGGGTAAGTATCTCTACTAGAAATAAATCTTGGAAGCCTGCAAAGCAGAACAAGCTAAAAACAATGGGACCAGTAGATCTCTGCATCAAGAAGGTTTCCCTGACATATGTTTTATCATCTTCTCCTATTGATATGTCCAGATCAAATACAGTCTTTCCAACAGATAATGCACCTAGACATTTCTGAGCTGCAGTAATCAATCTAAGTGATAGCAATTGTGGCCAACATCTGGACGCTTGAGCAGTTCATAAGCAACTCCCATGCTAGGCTGGGTGATCACTTGCAGAGCAGAACTACTGACTAATCCAAACCCTTGTCTGCTGCAAGAAAACAAGGCAGCAAAAGCCTGCTGAGACTCCTATCTTTGGATGACCTTAAGATGCCAGCTTATACCCAGTCCAGCTCTGTACTCTCCAGCAAAGGAACTGTAAGACATTTGAGGAGCCACTGATCACATCTCCTGCCTGTGAGTCACCTTCAGAGCTCTTCTCTTTGGCTAAATAGGTGTCTCAGGGCTCTTGCTGACTTGTGGCTTTCCCATCAAGTCTTACAGGCTTAGGAAATTTGGAAACTCATCAGGAGTGGTCTGCCATGCAAAAAGTGATATTTATTCATCAGAGTGATTATTTCTAGTATGGAACCCTTTGTTAACAGTCACATCGTTCAGTGCTACACTTTCAAAGCAATATATAGCTTAGTGTTTTGTACATACAGCTGCCTTGAGTGCATTTTGTTCAACCCCCACGGTTGCAATGCAATATAACAAAAGATTTTCTTTTTTAATACAGGAGTCCCAAGATGAGCTTTCCTGTATCAGGAAACCGGCATGTTACAATAGGGATTCTATAGTGCGGGAAGGATAGGAGGACTGACCTCACCTTTGAGTTCAGATGTCAGCTGGACACCTCTCTTCAGGGTCACTGCAGTGGAAACTGCTATCAGAAGATATAACCCAATAGTGACCAGATTTAGCCACCAAATCACCTACCCAGGGGAAAAAAGAAAGATTTGTGACTTTAGGCTGGAAATAGGAATGCACATGTGAGAGGAAATGAAAAGCTACACACAAGCATAAGAGTACAACGAGAGAGACAGTCCAAAAGAAAGAGGAGGAAAAGAATCAATGTCACTGGCAGAAGCAAGAGTAAGCTAAAATTTGCTATAAAGACATTGGTTTGGAACCTCCCACTCCAACTTACCGGGTTTCCCAACAAATAAACCCGATAATCAGTCTCATTGACACCAGAAAAACGCAGACCCTGAGGAAACAGAAGGGAGTAAAATGGGTTTGAATCAATCCAGTTTGTATTTTGCACAGTGTCACAGGTGAGACAAATTCCCATCTACACGGCCCAGGTGCCACAAAATAAAGCTGACATCATCTTCAATGCAATTAAGAGGTGCTATGCTTCAAGAAGCACAGCAAAAAGCACTTGAAAACAGAAAGACAGGTTGATTGATCAATATACCTGGTAGTTGATGGGCCAGTGCCAAGGTTTGGATGTAACTTCATTGTCCTTTGGTTTAAGGCCACTGTTTCCCTATGGATAAGTCAAGATAAAATTTAAATGAGCAGGAAGTTACGCTGCAAAGCCCATTGAGAAATGTCTGGGTACACAAACATACACAAATATTTCCTGAGTAAGGGCTGTTTTCTGACTAGATGGCCACAATGAGGACAATGAATGTTTTAGTATTACTGTGCAAGTGAAAGTGTTCTTTGGCTACCACTAGAGGCAGTATTCTCTTGTATCTCTTCACCAGCTTTTCTGTCACTGAGGATATATGTTGCATAAGCAAGACCTTTTCGACAGGTTTCCCTCCACTCTGAAATAAAAGCCTCAAAGACTATTTCCATGGAAACTCATGCAGATGCTTCCTTATCTGAGACAGCATTATGACTGGTTGCCATGGAAATGCTTAGCATTAATAATAATTTGCTCGACTACCTTCTTTCTTTTTAGAATTTGAGAAGAGCTTTACAAACAGTAGCAAAATAAACCTTAGACTCCTTTCTCAAAATAGTAACTTCTCATTCTTCAGATAAAGGATTGAGGAGCTGGAAGCAGAAGGGCTGTGGCCAAGAGCATAAAAACCAATCATGCGGAAAGATTGCAAGAGTAGTTCACCTTTAAAATATTATAATCCAGCTTTTTTTTTTTTTTTAACATTCAGGGATAAATAGGGTAAAGCAGAAAACACAGCACCTCGATGAACTTAAAAAAAAGTTTTCCATTTTCAATCCAAACATTTATTGTTCTTTTAAGTGTCTGTTTAGCCAGTTTTCCTGACTCTGACCACAGTAATATCCTCCTGCCTCACAAATATTAATTTAACTTTGAAACCTTCCAGTAGGGTAGGGAAAATTTCCAACTCTTCTTTACAGAACCAAATTTCAGCAGTGGAGGGATTACCTACTTCGGCTGTAGCTAGATCACACCAACAGCAGAGCTAGGCATCAAGCCCAAGGCTTCCAAACTTTCAGAAGGTTTAGTTGCAAGACCACGCTTTTTTCTAAGTATTTAGAATTATATTAATACATAAATTCAGGTAGGTTGCTGGGGCATGTAAATTGTGCCCTAGCTTGCAGACATCACACATATCTCAGAATACGCTATTTCTTTTTGATGCAAAAGAAAGGAAGACAAAAATTATAATCGGGAATTAATCATATCCTACCCGGATCATAACCATGTGAGATTCTAGCAGAATTTCTGCAAAAGACGGCTTCAAAACATCCAGGCTGATATTGGGCACTTTAGAAAAAGAGAGAAAAACAGATGAGAAGTCTGTATGGTTTACTTTTATTTGCCTCTTTCCTAATAAACTAAACTCTCTCTTCCTGTTACAAATCTGCTTCTAGCACCTCTTTTAATTCCCTGCGCAACTCATTCATATTCTAAACACAGAGGCTTGCAGTCAAAAGTATCCCCCAGTGAATTTCACAACTGATGTACTCCTAGATTTCCTCCTTTACTTCCAGGAGCAAGAGAAATAAGTAAAAGTCCATGAAATAAACAGGTTTATATTTCTAGCTGAAACTACAGACATCTTGTTCATAGACTGCTGTTTAACTGTAAATGAGTGTGCTAGTTTTGGCTGAGACAGTTAATTTTCTTCATAGTAGCTAGTATGGGGCTATGTTTTGGATTTAGTATGAGAATAACGTTAACACACAGATGGTTTGGTTGCTGCTATGTAGCTCTTACACTAGTCAAGGACTTTTCAGCTTCTTATGCTCTGCCAGCAAGAACCTGGGAGGGAGCAGAGCTAGGACAGCTAACCCAAACTGGCCAAAGGGGTATTCCATACCATATGATGTCATGCTCAGCATATAAAGCCAGGGGAAGAAGGACGAATGGAGGGGATGTTCGCAGTTATAGCATTTGTCTTCCCAAGTAACAGTTATGCGTGATGGAGCCCGGCTTTCCTAGAGCTGGCTGAACACCTGCCTGCTGATAGGAAGTGGTGAACGAATTCCTTGTTTTGCTTTGCTTGCCTGCATGGCTTTTGCTTTCCCTATTAAACTGTCTTTATCTCAACCCACAAGTTTTCTCACTTTTACCCCTCTGATTCTCTCCCTCATCCCACCAAGGGGAGTGAGCGAGTGGCTGTGTGGGGCTGAGTTGCCAGCTGGGGTTAAACCACGACAATAAGCCATGACTGTGGGAATGTAAAATGCATGACAACAGAAGAGGAAATTCTACCAAGTCAACAGCCCAGGACTCCTCTCCTTTGGTTTGCATACAGTCACTCTGAAAGGCTGAAGAACACTAGTTTTTTTAGTAACTCAAAACTCAGCCTAAGTCATCTGCAATTCATGGGATGAAAATTGTATCGAATAATTCAGGCTAAATGAGGCTGTGACACATATCTAGCTCCTGAATGAGGCTGCAAGGCCCATCTGTCATTACTGGCAAACTTAGTTCTCTGTCACACACCTATTCATTTCTTGATGGTACTGCAAAGTCATTATTCAGCCCCCAGTAAGAGAAGGAAAAAAATATGCCAGAACAGGGTGGATCCTAGCTTTTTAAAAAAATCATTAAAGTCTATATAACATACCCATAATGATGACAATAGTTCCCAAATAAATGAACAATGTTAAAAACAGCCTGTACTGCAGTGCCTATTAGAACTTCACACTTTTGTTACCTATGAAGATCTCAAAATCTTTAAAAACATCTTTATACTTCCACTACACTTAAAGCATTATCATCAGCTTACAGTACAAACAGTCAAGTAGAAAAAGACCATGCATCTCTGAACAACTGGCCCAAGTTCAGCAAGTTCATGCTTGAGTTGGGAAATAACACACAAATTCCAAACATTGAATGGCAGTTCTTGCCATCTGATAGCTCATCCCTTCCTTTAACAACACACCAAGATGCACTCTCAAAAGAAATGGAAATAAAGTACTTACACTTAGGGTTAATATGATCTTCAAAGTTCCATAGGGAATTGGGAGTCTCCTTCAGGTATGGTGTGCAGGTGACTTCCACTTGTTCCCAACCCCTGAGGAACAACAGAACATTTTTTTTTTCTCCATTTAGCTTCATAGTTCCCCACAACACCTATCATACCACTCAATGCCAGCAGCTGCATTCTTACACACTTATCTCCTCTAAGCACCATGTAGAGACTGAAACAGCAGCCAACATCAAAATTCTCCTGAATATTTGAACCACATTTCTAACTTTGGGCATCTAAACTGAAAAAACTAGGTCCATAGATAAGCAGTGGGATTTCTGAAGATGATGCACATTGACAACTAGAAACTATTTCGAATCAACCCTAAAGTCTCTCCAGAAGAAAATCACCATCGTTAATTTGAGTCAATCCATGCCTACAGTAACTGTATTACAGAAACAAAAGAATGACTTCAGAGGATCCCAACAACTGTTCATTTAGTCTGTCACCCTATTTCTAGAAGGTCACATCAAACACTTTGGGAGAAAGTGCATCAAACCCTGTAGTAATGTGACAGATTAATAAGGAATTTTCTATCAATCACCACTTAGCAGACTTAACTCCACTAATTAATTAAAATAATTAATTAATCACCACTTAATTCTCTGAAGGACAGTGATTACTCCCCTTTAAATTTGTAAAAAAATCATATCAAAATCCAATATACTCTAATCATCCTTATTTGCAGTTAACAAGTATTTCTTCCCCCTCAGCTCTTAATGTCATCAATATTTTGTGGCAATAACTTCCATTCACAGGGTAAATTTGTGCTGGGGGCAAGAGGGAATACAGATCCTTTCCTGAACATTGTTGACAGAGGCAGTGATTTGTTTTTTTTAAAACCAATCACATTATTTACCCATGAGCCCAGCTGTATTGGTGAAGTCTAAATGGTACTTGCATTACTGACCAGGCAGTCACCAGAGGTATCTGCCAGTGCTCACTATCATTCAGCATCCACAGGATTCCTCAGAAACCCTTTTACCATAACACAGTGAAACCTAAGCTAGCAGTAATGGAGGCTGCTCTGGAAAGAGAAGTAGTATGACCACACAGCCTGCTGCTTCAGGATCCATGTTAGTATCCCACACAGTACAGCTCTGCAGATACAGCAGCTTGCTTGGCATTAGTCTGGATGTCTCTGAATATACTGCATTTTAATGATTAATACATATAATCCAAGGACATATTAAATCACAACCCCTGCTAACAGCAGCTTGTTACTGTTGCACTCACTTCAGATGCTGCATGCAAAAATGGGAGGTCTTCCAACCACAGAAGAAATTAATACCAGTAAAAAGAAGTTTGGAGGATTATGGTATGGAACAGCATGAACTGTCACAGTTTCTAGCAATTTTTGTGAATACCAAGGATAAAATGGGCCTTGAAGAACATGTCTGTCATCCCCTCCTGTATTTGCCAGATGACAAGATCTACATCCATGCCACTCTTGAATCTCTTAGTACAGGATATTATTTTTCAGAGCTATATACCTTTGCTGTAACAGACTGCATAACCCTAACCCAGATCTTCCTCTCTGGTTATATTTTTAGTACCTGCTAGTTACTTTTTTATTCTTTTAAAGATAAAGAAATGGAGGAAATGTGGTTATTGCTTAGTTTAAAAGTACCATTGAGCAAAGGAACATGTCAGCTCAAGGCCTTGCAGGGGTTGGAGGGGGATTACAAGCTATTTACCATTTTGGCAGAGTCTTTCCAGAAGAGCCCAATATACACCCTGTGACCACATGGGTTAGCCGGACCTGACTCCGAAGGACTTTGATGAGCTTCCCAGCCTTTCTGCCCACCACTTCAATCCGCCAGAAATCATTGGAGTCTCCTGTTCCATTCTATCATGCAAACATACCATAGGTGGAAAAAAACCCCCACACAACAAAAAACCAAACACATCACAAAGAACCCCCCCACAAAAAAACCCAAACCAACAACTGAAGACATACAGGATTGAAGCATTGCAAATAGGAACTTATGAAACTCTAATGGTGGCAAAGCTAAACAAAGGACTCCAGGCTACCCTCGCTCAGACTTCACAGAAGAGATTCCCCATCAGGAAAAGATGACTCTAGACATGAGCAACAACTCACAAACACATTTTTATGTTGCCAACCTTAAATTTTTTTTGCTTCCAATTTATACTTGACTGTGGCTCAGAGTTACATTTTAAACAGGGGTAACTTGGCTGCTTCACAAAAGGGGTTTAAGCAACAGCCCCTTGCATTTGGAAATTCAGCCTGCAAAGCAGATTGCATTTTCGTGATTCAGAATTCTGTCATCATTCTGTCAAAAAAAAGGTGCTTGTCTATGTGACAAGGCCAAATACATAAAATAATACTTGTCAGAGCAACTTCAAGGTTGCTCAGTTTGGAATTTCTGGAATTGAACGCTGCCAAAGCTAGACTGGCAGTAAAAGCTTAAGTTATTTTCTTGTCTGTGTTCACATTAAATAGACCTTAAATATGAGATAAGCCATTTCATACTCAATCAGTTTTTCCTCCAGTATGGTAGATGCACATCTATCACCTTGGCTAACAAACTAAAAAAGCAAGAATAAATCCCGTTGCCTTGGTATGAACTCTCCCCAAAAGAAGGAGCTTTTGTTTTATCTTGCCATTCACTTACTATTCCATAGCCAGTGACCTGAAAATGCTTCCTTGTCAGGGGGGCCTCGTGCTGGTGACTGTGAAGATTTCTAGAAGTTCTGAAATTAAATTAAAAAGTCAAACATTGTTTTGTTTTTACGCCTCAGTCAATTAGTGATAAGAACGCTGGTGTGAGCCATGCAGAGCTACCAGCGCTTTGGCCACTGCATCCAAGCCGAGCGCCGGGCAGGACTGCAACCTTAACAGCGATGGGGCCACGGAGTGAAACCGCCACGTCCCACCATGCGACTCTGAGCTTACGCCACACCAGGCAGCGCTGGAAAAGGAGGATTAACATGAATAGATCCCATCCTCAGGCTACAGTCCACCACCTCCGAGGGGCAAAGCCGTTGGTTTTGGCTTGTTTGGTTTTGTTTTTTTTGTTTGTTTTTTTTTTTTTTTTAAATTAAGAGTAAAGGTGTGGCTAACAGTCCCGCTCCCGCAGGAAGCAAAGCCAGCTCCTGACCTCTCTTGACGACCCGTTTTGAGTTTGAGGGGAAAGATTGTACCATTTAGTCAGGCGGGGGGGATGTGTCAAATCAGTGGCCCCCAATAGTACCAGCTGTACATGCTGCAGACAAACAGCCTCCCGCCCTA